TCGTTCCACAGCTTAAACACAACTTGAAAGTTGGACGTTGCTTTCACTTAATGGTCCTTTTTCTGTCATTATAGACAGTTTCAAAGTGAATTCGAATTAAATATGCAATTTACTAGGAAATAGTTATATATACCGCTGAACTGTTTAAATAGCAACAATGTGCTTTGGGTATTGCAACAACAGCCCGATGGTAAAGCATTTAAAGAATACTAGTATATGAGACATTTAATGATAACTGTCGATATTCCAAAATCTATCAATTTCAAAATTTAATATAACATAACATGTACAAGTTCATAAAATAATTATAGTGACAGATTTGAGAAATGATTATTTATTTACAAAAACATCATTTTTTTTGTTATCGACTGATCAAATAAAACCCCAAAAGATACGGTTTGTAAATATTTATTACAAACAAATATATAAAAAATATTTACTATGATATCCTATGTGACACGTCCAGGTTAGCTATAAAACTATAATTACCGCGCTAAGTCACGGTGGTGCTTGTGATACTGACACGGAAGTCATGTTACGATACAAAAATGCCTGCCCCCCCCCCATCGGACAGTTTCTTCTGCCAAAAATATAATGTGAAATTAACACTTGCTATTCAAAGTTTGTACAGATTAGCGATTTACTATTAGCAAATTTTGCCTCTACCCGATTATGTTGATGTTTTTTTTTATTGGCTTAAACCATCATGTGACCAATACAAATGAAAAAGTGAACTAATTTCATTTTCATTAATATTAATGAAACACTTTTAATTACACTACAAATAATTTGATAAAACAAGAAACCAAAAAACATTTAATATAATAAAAATAGCATTGCAAATTATACATGCATATTAAGTGTAAGTTTGTGAATAACAACTAACCCCTATAAAAACATAGAAGACTCAATCAAAACAAGCGTCTGCTTCTTTACCTAATTATGTAGTTGCATGACCATGATTTGCAAACCAAATTGAAGAGATAAACCTAATTTAAAAATAATATTTTGACCACAGCAGATTTCGTACAGAAAAACAGTGCCATTGTAATGTATCATTAACCAAAGACATTCGTTGGATATGTCAACATAGCCGTTGTAAGAAAAATACAAAACAAGAAAAAATCAACATATTCTTAGTCATATTTTCAGTGCCAAACAATTTATTCTTCGGCTCGCCTATTTAGACACGCCTGTCAAACTGTCGCTCCAATTCAAAATTGTGGTGTACGGTAAAACGAGCGAACGACATTTCCTAGATAGAACGGGAGGCCGATTTAAACGGATATTTGTTGTTTGTGTTTTTGTCTTGTTATTCATTTTGATTGTATATTTTCGAAAAAATGAAAATGTAGTTCCGTGTAGGATTGTTTTAGGCATCCAATGATCTAAGCTGTTACAAAAACAAATTTATATAAAGCCCTGGAGAATTTTTTTTCCTGACGAACAAAAGGACAATTTGTAGGATATTGAACTTCCCAAACATTTAAATGCCATACCCTTCGGATTTCTTTAAAAATGTTTTAGGCAAATATCAACCTGTAATAAGAATTTGTCCTTCGTGCAACATGAATTAATCCTGAAGGATTTCTTAGATTTGTAAATCGATATTTTTCGAAAGTAGTGGAGCCAAAGGGCAAGAGATGGAGCAAAAGGTTCGATGTTGAGCGCAATGTGATATTAATTTGGCATATTGGGAGGAGCTTGGTCTATGCATTTTTATATATAAAAGCTTTAGAAGTAAAAGTAGACATGATCAATTGTTGAGACTGAGATATATATAACTTTTAAAGACAACTAATAAAGCGTGATATCCTTTCAACGACTATAGCGTTATAAATGTAATCGCGAAGGTGTGACCTGCAATGTCACCTTGCACCCAACAACCGACCTTTCGCTCCATCTCTTGCCCTTTGGCTCCACTACTTTCGAAAAAAATCGATATACAAATTTAAGAAATCCACCAAGAGTAGTTTATTTTGCATGAAAGTTTAGCTCTTGTTACATGTTTATATCTGTATATTTTGTAAAACACTTAAAAATAATCCTAAGTGTAGAGCGTTTTCATGGTTTGAAGTTTGATATTTAACAAATCGTCTTTCACTTCGTCAGGGGTTAAAGTTCTCCAAGGCTTGATATAATTTTCTTGTTGTAACAGCTTAAATCATTGGAAGCCTAAATCAATCCTTTAAGGAACTACATTTTTCGTTTTTCGAAAAAATACAACTTAAATGAATAACAAGACAAAAACATAAACAGTCAACTTACAATTTTCCGTTTAAATCGGCCTTCCGCTCTATCTCGAAAATGCCGTTTGCTCGTTTTACCGCACACCACAATTTTGAAGTGGAGCGTATAAGATTACATTTACTTCCTCAGATTCATTCATTTAACAGGTGAAGAAATGTGTAAACATGATAATTGGGCTCTAATTCGTTTTCTGAAAATAATCCATCGAAAAGAATATTGTAGGAAATCATTTGTGAAGTTGGTTGTTAATAAAATGAGTAATGGAACATTTTTTAAGACTTTGAGTACATCATTGTGTCAAAAATCAACAAACATTATTACTTTTGGATTAGCTTTAGTATACAAAATACTATTACGAAAGTTTATTTTGGATAAGCAAAAACAATGTTTATAACAAATACAACTTATAACATTTTGAGTATTTGGAGAAAATGTTTAAAGGCATCAAGTTATCAAATGTGCTGACGTACGGGCAGTGACAGGAATATGCTGGAAACACGAGTGAGTGATAAATATGTTCGATACACCATAGGATGCAGATTGTTGTTTATGCAAATAGCCCGGTACTTCGTATCTTTCAACGTTATCTGACTTTGTTGAAATTAATGAATTTTGTTACGTTTATTTATTTGTATAATCACTAAGACAGAAGTTTGGTGTTTAAATCAAACAATGGTATACGTAGATGGTATAGACAGAACGCTAAAGTATGTTAACGGTAATACTTAGCAATATGGAACGCCATAGCTGCATTATGTTATTACATTTCTTTTTATCTTGCCCAGAAAGCGTCTTATAAAGTCAAATGTAAGCGTTGTTATGTCATTGTAATTTGTCGACTTGTCTAAACATTGCATTATTATACCTAACAGTAGTCTTATATCTTTAAAATGTGATGTTGACTTGTGTTAACATTGTTTAATTACTTCAAACAGTAGTGTTATCATGTCAAAAATGTCGTTTTGGCTTGTCTGAAATGTGTCATATTATGTCAACTAGTCGCGCTATTTGGTGAAATTGTGGAGCTGATTTTCTCTGATCGTTTGAAACAGTAATGTTCTCTTGTCCAAATGTGGTGCTGACTTGTAAAAGCACAGCTTTATTTAATCAAACTGCCATGCTATTTTGTCAAAATACGGTGTATCAAACAACTGTGTTAATTTGCCAACGTACACTACTGAATGTCTTTTATATCAAATATTTGAATTATCTTGCCGAAATGGGGTGTTGACTGGGCTAAATCATGCATTTTTATGATATACTGTAAGCTATGTTGTCAATAAGCAGTTTTGAATGGTTAAAACTTTGTCTTATAAAGTACAAAAAACTGCGGTATCTCGTTGAAATGTGGAAATGACTTGTCTAAACCCTTTCTTATAATGTAAAACAGAAGTGTTATATTGTCGAAATTTGATTTTTTTTTGTAAAACAGAAACAGCCTTATTATGTCTAGTAATTGTGTAAACTTCAAATTAAGTTATGTCTTGAGAAAGCGATGTCTGATTTTCTCTAACTGTCCCGTTATCTTTTTTGCTCTATCTTTTATCGCTCCGCGCGGGCTCTGGTCACGGGATACTAAATATTGACAACATCGCATCTGGACAGGATAACACGATTATATGACATAATGAAACGTGATGTAGACATGTTAACGTCATAAACTGGCAAGTCAACGATACTGTATTACATAATGATACTGTGTTTCAACAAGTAAACACCACATTTGAAAAGGAAAAAAGATACTTTGCCATAACAGGACGATGTTAAGTAAAAATAACACCGAACCTTGACAAAATGAAATGACACTTTGACAAAAAGGTAGTAATTTTAAACAAGTCATCACCACGTTTCGACAAGATGATATGACTATTTGACATAATAAGACGGAGATAGGCAAGTTGAACGTGCATTTGGACATACAAGCATGACAAGTTTGACAAATTGAAATAGAGTTTTAACAGTTCATAACCATAATTGGTAAAGATACCACCATTATTTCACATAATAAGACGGTGTTTAGGTCGGTTAACACATAAAGTTTGGACAAAATAGCATAGCGATCTGAAAAAATAAGGCAGTGATCAGACATGTCAATACCATCTTTCGACAAGTCAACGATACTTTTTGACATATAATAAAATTACGTTTACACAAACAAACAAAATTTATTGGCAAGTCAACATTAGTATTTCACATAATAAGTATATTTTTAGACAGAATAACAAAAGTTTTAGACAAGACAGCATGATGTTTTGGCACAATTACACTGAATAACACCACCTCATACAAAGCAACAAAGCATTTTGACAAAACAGGACAGCACTCAGCCAGGTCAATATAACGGTTGAACAAGATATCACTACAAGTCAACATAATAAGACATGAGTTTGACAAGTTGACACCAAGTTCCGATAAGATAACACTACTGTTTCACATAATAAGACAATTTCAAGACAATTGAACACCACATTAAAACAAGTCTTTGTTCAGACATAATGAAATCTTTTTTCGAAAAGATGGCGTGCATGTTAGACATATTAGGACTTCCATTCGGCATGTTAACACCGGATTTGCACATGAAAACATGACGTTTTGAAATAATAAGACATTGTTTAGACAAGTCAGCACTACGTTTTGACAAGATTAAATGAATATGTTACCTAATAAGACTTCGTTATGACAGGTTCCCATAAAATGTTGGCAAGCCAACACTTCTATTATGCATAATAAGACGCTTTCAGGGAAAAATAAAACGAAATTTAACAACATGAGGCAGCTATGGCGCTCCATATAGCAAAATAAATGCACCAGAATTCTGTCAGAATCAGCGACTATATCATATCAGTCTCAAATCAAACTTGAGCTGGATTCCAATATCAATAAATGTTTACATACAATTTTCTGAGATTGTGACAGAGGCTTGAAAAGTGTTATATCTGCTCGAGACAGATTTGCGGTAACTTTTTATAACGTCATAAGTTTAACACGGGCAATTTATAAATTTGAGTGCAACGGAATGAATTATGGGAAATATTGGATTTTTTATGGAGGTATTTTAGTTAAAGTCACAATTGGAAAGAGACTCTTGCTAAGCGATAAGACGTGCTGCAACATCATTTGGATTTACACTTGTTCTTTATTCTAATCGCTCTTTGAAAAATTGATAAAGCTTTTACTGGATTTTTATTTTTTAAACTATTAGATTACGTTTTAATTGCCTTTTGAATTAAGGCTTATATTTTTTTTTATCAAATTTTGGAAATTATTTGAAATTGAATCCGGTCATAAGAAAAAAAAATATGACAAATTTAAGTATGCCGGCACCGGAGTTCAATGCATCTGACGACGACTATGATTATTTATGGTTAAATTACACATACAATTACGATTACGACACTTCAATAACTCCGTTACCTTTAGATGAATTTGTTCCTATGGTTACGATCTATACCCTTATAGGATTGTTGGGCATCATCGGGAATCTGTTAGTCATTTTCTCCATCATAAAAGTTAAAAGAATGAGGAGTATTACAAACTTGTTTGTACTCAGTCTTGCTACTGCCGATCTTCTTTTAGTGTGTGTCTGCGTTCCTGCAAAAGTAAGTTATAACTTGTATAGTTCAGTTTAATGCTCATTTAGCTTGTGTGTCTAAACGTCATCGCGGTCATTATGACATTTCTTTGCCACTGGTATAGATCTCGCCTTGTTTGAGAGCAGCTAAAAACTGTTTTCCCTAACTTTAGCATTTTTGTATTTAGACATATAGGTCAGTTCAAAAGTGAAATCAAGATAATGTCTTTATAATGTTTCAACCAGTCAAATTTGTTTACGTAATGACATGTTATTCTTTTATTTTGACGACAGTCTGCAGGCTTCGTGCGACTCATCCTCAGACCAATATGTTTATTTGACCTTTTTGCTAACCAACATATCGATTTCTAATATTTTCAATTTGTTTACCCATTTGTTACAAACATTACATGTCAGTATTATAATGCAACATTTTTATCACGAACACATTTTCTTAATATTTTATGAGATTATATGTAAGTATATTCTAAAATAATATTATTAAATAGAATAATGTTAAATTTACACATTAACAATCTTTAGCTAGCAGCGTTTAAGTGTATTGGTGTATTGTAAGAATCAAAACATTTTTTATACTGAATTATAAATATTCAGTCATTTAATCTATTTCTTAATTCTGTTCCGAGAGTTTTGAGAGGATTGTTGTTTTAGAAATATACCAATGTTTTTTTTATAAATATTTTTTGATAAAACAGAAACAACGCGATGTAAGACAATAAACCTGTTAATTTCAGTAGCAAACGCACGTACTTATCAAATAGTAATCGTAATTGAAAAGGCATTAACATGTGACTTTAAATTGTTTAAAAGAATATTTTCTAATTTTTGATAATTCATCAAACAGTGTTATGGTGATGGCATATTTATATTAACCCTACTTATTAATAGCAACCGATGGCTTACTTATAGTAACATAGTTTCAGACAATCGTTTCTATTTCGGTAAAATGTATATAAACCCTTTTCTCTGCATATATATAAAAAAATACACATGATCATGTAATGTCACTTGCATATTTATTTAATGATGTGACCATTAAAGTCTCCTCCTTTTATATTAAGTAACTACAATTATAAGTCTTAAAAGTTATGATGGAACATGATAAGACCTCCTCAAAATGTAATCAATCCTTGTATACACTTTGACGTTTTCTTTTGAAAATGGATATGGCAGTATGTTTTTGTATATACATTTAGTTACTATTTAGAAAAAAAAGATCTAAGGAGATTTACTGTTTTACATTTTCATTTGTTAATGTATTGTGCTAATTTTCTTATTAATATTGCTAATATGGAATGATATCATACAAATTATTCAATAAAATTTACTATTAAATCGACTATGAGAAAACAGAAAATATGCAATTGCTGCAAAATTAAATAGAAATAGAGTCCAAAGCGGTTAAATGTTAAAAATATTTTGAATAATTTTAAGAAGAATGGTTAATCTTGTATCATTTATATGAATGTAATATAATTTTAGATATTGAGAGTTTACTTGTAGCTCTTCAAACATAATGTCTATTCTCGAGTTTAGCCACACACAAAAGCGAACTTAACCACACACAAAAGCACCACCATTCTGTTGAGCACTTATTGTAACATCATGTTAAAAATATAAAGATACGAGCGCTCTAAGCCATGATGTTGATCGTGAAATTTCTCATGCACATTAAATAAAATACCCATACATCATCAATGAAAGCCACATTGTCCTGCTTATGCAAACGAGGTTTAAAGTATTATGATTAACTGGGTACTAACACAATCTATTCAATCACCTTGACAAACTTATAATTGAATACTTGTACAACAAAGGTACTTTTCAACTTAAACATCTTTTAATTTCAATAATATCTTCAGCAAACATATTTTTGACACGTGCAATATTATTTGAGATGCATTATTATGTGTATATAAATATTTAACTACTTTAGGGATAAAGAAATTGCATGTTGCACGATTTTTCGCTTTAATTTAAAAAGAAAAAACACCGGACTTGGTTAAACACTTTACATCAATGGGATGAAAAGGAAGAATTCAAAGAAACCACACGTCAACACCGGATAAATGTTAACAATATTTTAATAAAAGATCTACCGGTTTCGAACCTATCTGGTTCTTCATCAGGATAAAATTTACAAAAACATCTCGCTAAAAGTATAAAAATTGTGTAGGATGGTAAGTCACGTCATATATAAAAATAGTAACAAAATTAATAAAGTTTTCTAAAAATAGATAGAGTTTTGGAAAATTGCCAGGAAAATTATGGAGTTGTGCCAAATTTCTTTAGTATTATTCTTAAATTGTTGTTTGGAAAATACCACATATTCTGTAAACGTTGATGATCAGTTCATTTTCGATATTATGCATTAATTGTTCATCCTCGCAGATAGTTGATGTTGATAAGCTATTCATTGGTGATTTGATGCTGTCTGTTTGTAGATGGATGTTCTTCTGTTTGTTGTGTTGGGCTTAGTGGTGATATTGGCCTGGAAATGTTTAAGTTTAGATCTTCTGTCTTTGGTTGTTTGTAAGTTTTCTTCTTTTTTAAGTCCAATTGTCCGGTGTTGCCTTGGGTAATTCTGAAGGTTGGTTTCTTGAGAATAGTTATCTTTTTGGGAGGGTCTATTGATGGAGTCGTGGAATTTAAATGTTTACCATATGAAATGTTTCCTCACGTAGAAAATGAATATTTCTTGAATGACGTTTTAAAGAGTCTCTCTTTGCTAATAGTTTCTGGCAACAATCACTAGTTTGCATGTGTTACAAATGTCGATGTTGTCTATAAAATTTAGTTGTTCTAATTCTTTCTCTGTGTGGTCTTCTAATTTCTTAGCGTATAATATATCTTTTGATAAAATTAAATTTAATCCGTCTGGTGTTTTTGTGTTGAGCTTCTTTTATCCATAGTTCTTCAGTTCGTAACCTTTTGTTTAGATTGCGCTCCGTGTTTTGTATTATCGTAATCGTGATGTTCGTGACGTCGTGTTCAGTGCCGAAATGGCGCACAATTGGTTTAAATGTGTTTTTCGCGCGAATATCCGCCATATGACCATAGAGTCTTTCTTTGATAGTGTTACCCGTCTGAGCCACGTACTGAATGTTACATTTTTGCAAGTTATAAGGTATATAATGTTCGGAGTTTTACATGTAAAATGGCCTTGAGTTTTATATACCTCGGACGTTGTTGTGCTTTTAATCTCTACCGAGTGTTCATGAATTTACAAATTTACGAGCAAAACAATTTTGTTTGCATGCATAGCTTCCCTGTGTTAGTTTCTTGCAGTTTAAATCTGACTTGATTAATAGATCTCCAATGTTTAACGTTCGACGATGAACTGCTAGAATTTGGCATTTTAACGAACTTTGTGGATCTGTTCTCTTGTAGAATTTTAAGTTATGTATTAATTTTTTTTTTGCGCTGGCGGAACGAAAGGGTTGTAAGTGATGATGAATGGAATGATTTGTTAATATGATTCCGTGGTTCTTTGTATGTAAATAGATTATTTCGAGTCATTTTCCTAGCTTTGCTTATTGCGTGTTTTATTAGTTTACAAGGGTATCCTCTCATTCGAAGGTTATTAAATAGGGTTTCCGTGCATCTATCGAAATTTTCATTTGAACTGCAGATACGAAGTATCCGCACGGCCTGACTATGCGGGATGCTTTTTTCTGATGTATAGGATGGTATGCCGTATAATGCAAATACATGTGTGCGTTTGTTGGTTTTGTGTATAAAGATGTTTGAATTACACCGGTTTCATCTTTTCATACTGTTTCATCTAAAAATGCGCTTCCTTATTGCTTATTTCATACGTTAATTTAATAGAGGGGTGGAAATCAATGAGATCGGCCAGAGAGGAATACAATTCCTCATGGCGGTGTCGCCAAACAATAAATATATCGCCGATATATCGCCACCATAAGAGTGTTGTTTTTTTTTTGGCTATCTAGATATTTTTCTTCTAATTGTGCCATGAAGAGTATTGCATAACTTGGCGCACATTAGTTCCCATTGTTGTGCCTGAGATTTGTTCATAGAATATATCATTGAACTTAAAAGATGTTTTCTTTAGGACAAATAACATAAGGCGCAGGATGATCCAAGTTTTAGGTTCTTTTATGGGTCTCTTGTCTAGTGCCCCCTTAAGTGCACATATGCCATCTTTATGTGGATATAAAGTGTATAGGGCTGATACATCTATTGTGACTAGATACTGCTGCAGAGAAATACTGCCAAGTTGATGAAGTTTCTTCAGAAAGTCATTTGTATCCTTGATGTATGACTTAACTTCTTGTGCCAGAGGTTTAATATGATGGTCTATGAATTCGGAGATTTTTTCCGTTGGACCTTCGCATGCTGAAACAATTGGTCTGCCAGGGTTATTAGGTTTATGAATTTTTGGAAGCATGTAGAAAATCGGTGTCCTACAATGTTAAGGATACATATATTATACAGAATTTGGTGAGAGTAAATTATGTTTTTAAGGTAGTTTGAAAATCTCTTTACTTTACATTATTGTTTCTTGTTTTTCTTTTCTTATATACACTTGACTTAATAGTTACAAATCTTGAGTTGCGATGGTCGTATCCGGATCTGTTCTATTTAGTAGTTGTGTACTGTAATTCGTTTGTATTTGTAAGGGGAATATATTTGCCAATTATGTTCATGAACTGTAATTTTTAAAACAAGACAAATTAAAAATTAGTAGTGACAGTTATCGCCAGAAAAAAAACTTTAAGCTCTGTCCTTGAAAAAGTAAGGTATAACTATGTTATTAACAAACAAGACAATAATGTGCTTTGACAGCTCTGAACAAATTATATATCAAAATATATCAAAATAGTAATTTTGTATCCTTGCCATTGGACAAAGTAAATTACTTTGAGAATAGTATCAAGCTAATATCAATTACATCCAAAATTACAAATCAACTTTCAATTTGTTTTTCTTTTCCTCACATACTATCCTAAAGCTATTAAAGATGGATAAGTTTTTTTTGTT